GGTGGATGTCCCGTCCCCGCTGACTGATGAGGGGACTGGAGCATCTTTCTGCTGAGGAAAGGCTGAGGGACTTAGGGCTGTTCACTCTGGAGAAGAGAAGATTGAGGGGGATCTTATCAACGCTGATCAATCCTTCAAGGGAGGGTGCCGGGGGGATGGGAACAGTCTGTTTCCAGTGGTGCCCAGTGACAGGACAAGAGGGAACGGGCACAAAGGTGACCATAGGCAGTTCCATCTCCACCTGAGGAGGGCCTTCTCTGCTGTGAGGGCGGCAGAGCAGTGGCACAGGCTGCCCAGAGAGGTGGGGGAGTCTCCCCCTCTGGAGCCATCCCAAACCCTCCTGGACGCCGTCCTGTGCTGCTGCTGGAGGTGCCCCTGCTCTGGCAGGGGGGTTGGACTAAATGATCTCCAGAGGCCCCTTCCAACCCTGACCATTCTGTGATTCATTTTGTGACTGTCCCCTGTTCTGCCCTCCCAGGTGGTGACCTCTGACGTCCTGAGGGATGCCCGCATCCTCATCCTGCACATGGTGAGACGACCTGCAGCCCAGCTTGGGACCCCTCTGTCACACAGAGACACCTCACACCCTCTCCCTCCCTGCCACCGTGTTCCCTGTCCCACCAGGGCCGTGACTTCTCCTTTGATGACTGTGGTCGGGCCTTCACCTGCCTGCCTGTGGAGGAGCCCGGTGCCCCGGCTGAAGCTCTGGTCTGCAACCTGGACAGCCTGCTGGAGACCATGACGCACCGGGTCTGTGTGGCTTGCGGGATAGGGCCTTGGGCTCCTGCCATGTGACGCTGGGCACCCTGGCATGGGGGTGGGTTCGGCTCCCCCTGAAGCCTTTGGGGTGCCTTCAGCAGGCTCCCAGCAGAGTGGGAAGAGTGCTGGGTGCCCCATGAGGGCTGAGCCCCTTCTGTGCCACCCCTGGGCATGTGGCCCTTCTCTCGGCAGCTCTGCGTGGGCTCCCCACCCGGTGTGTGGGTTTGCAGCACTGACATGCTCCTCACCGTGCCCTCAGCACCAGGTGAGTGGGTGCTAGTCTTGCCTCCAGAACCCATGTTGGCTTGGAACAGGGGTCAGTGCAGCTGGTTCAGCCTGTGCCACTGTCCTGTGATAGTGTGGATGCTCGGGCATTGCTGACCCGTGTGTGGTTGGGAGCATCCGTTGTGCCGGCAGCAACGTGGTTGAGGCTGGACGCTGCTGTCACCACCTCTGCCGTGGGCCCTGTTTTCAGGCAGCTGTGCCCAGTGCAGGTATATTCGCTGCCCCAGTGAGCACTGATGTCTGTTACTTTAGGGATTGACTGGGACGGCTTCCAGGGCGTCAGAGTGATCGCAGTGCCTGGGAGCCAGGCGTATGCCAGGAACCATGGCGTCTATCTCACTGATGAGCAGGTCAGGAGCAGCTTCCCCTTCAAGGGGCATCCCTTGGAGGCGCAGGGTTGCCTACCACTTTGGTCCCTGGGGTGCTGAGGTCCCAACCCTGCCGCGGCTGCTTGCCTTGGGGCACGCTGAAGAGCTCATCAGGGTGATCTCGCTCCCAGGGGCTGGTGCGCAACATCGTCTACAAAGGCACGGAGGCCCAGATCCAGCAGTGCGCGGGGCCCAATGGCACCGTCCCACTGGTACGGCACAACTCGGGCATCGGTGGCTCTGCCAGCCCTGTCCCTCATGTCACCGTGGCTGTGGCCTCAGCCCCGCTGTGCCCTGGCAGGTCTGCGGGGTGGTTTTCTTCTCCTCGGATGCTGCCGAGCAGCTTCTGGCCACCCACGTCATCCCTCCTCTGGATGCCTGCACCTACATGGGGCTGGACTCGGGGGCACCGCCCATCCAGGTGACAGCCCCTCCGCGGGGGACAGGACCTCTCGCCCCACGGGTGCTGCTGCTGGGCATCTCTGTGGGACCTGTTTACTCCTGTGCTGCCAGATTTGGGCAGGAGAGGTGGCGGGAGGGGAACACCAAATGGCAGGGTGGTGGTCAGGGTGGCTGCCCCGGCCAGCCCGGCTGCACCTAACAAGTCCCTTCTCTCCCCAGCTCTCCCTCTTCTTCGACATCGTGCTGTGCATGGCAGGGGGGATGACGGAGGAGGAGTTCCTGAAGGGTGGCGGTGACGCCAGCGTGAGAAGCGCCCGCTCCGTGCTGTGGACGGCTCTCCGCGCCTTCCCCCTTAGCATGGGTGAGCGATGCTGTGGTAGGCACACGCGACACGACCCATCCCTGAGCTCCCTTCCCCTGCCTGGGGAGAAATGGGGTGGTGGGAGCCTGGCGCCCGGCTGTTTCTCCCTGCTGCTGCAGGTCCCCAGGTCTTCTCTCCCCACCCCTTTGGCTGGGGGATGTTCAGCCTGGCTGCCCGTGGCTCCCACGGGTGTCAGAGACACCAATGTTTGCCATCGATGCGCTGACAGCTCTCCTGCCTCCCCCACAGCCTGCATCCCTGACGCGTCCTACGACTACATGACCACCTCTGCGAGCGACTACATCCGCAGCCTGACGCTCCTGCCCGGCTCTGCCAGTCACCTCCGCTTCTGCAAAACAGCCCATTCCCACGTGGACGTACGTACTTCCATCCCCAGCCTTGCTCATGCGTGTTTTTTGGGGGTTGCTCCAGGCTGCGTGGCCTGACCCAGGTCCCACGTGCCTTTGTGCCCTCGGCAGCAGCCCTGTCTCCTGGAGGACGGCTCTTCGGTCACCAACTGCCTGCTGGAAGGAGCCGTGCGGTTGGCGGCCGGCAGTGTCATCCAGCACTGTCACCTCCAGGTATGTGGCTGAGGGTGACCCCGAGTCCTCAGTGCGCTGAATGGGCAGCAGGGTGAGTGGCCTTGGCTGGGATAGCGGACCCGTGGCTGTAAGATTTGGGGTGCGCTTTCTCTTCGGGGCTGCCTTTTGGCTCGTGCTGGGGACCCTGGTGGCTGTCACCCTCCCCTGGCAAGGGGAGGAGGCTGTCATCGCTGGGCTGTCCCTCCCTGGGGAGCAGGGCAGACCCTCCTTGGCTCTGGCATGGCTGTGACCCCTGGAGGCTGTCACCTGGCCTGAATTTCGGCAGTCCGTGTCCCTGCAGCCCCGTGACAAAGCAAAGTGTGTCCCTCTGGCCCCGGGTTGTCTCCTGGGGTGGTTGTCCCCTTCCGAGGTCGGGATCTGGCTCTGGTTTGGGGGCTGCTCTGGGGCCAGCCACGCCACTCAGGGTTCTGCTGCATCTTCCACAGGGTCCCCTGGAGATTGGTCCTGGCTGCGTCCTCTCAGGCCTCTCCACAGGCTCCTCACCAGCCCTGCGGGGCTGTCCCCTGCGTGATGTTGTCCTGCAGGGACACCACGTCCGGCTGCACGACCTGCCCTGCCGTGTGTTCACTCTCACCGGCCGTCTCGACGACTGGCAGGTATGGGGGTGGCGAGGTGGCATGAGGCTCCCTGTGAAGACGGGCTGTAGCTAGTCCTTCTGTCCCCCTGCAGAGCCCTGCTGAAGAGGCCACCTATCTGAACATGCCCTGGGCTGAGTTCTTCCATCGGACAGGCATACGGTAGGTGCTACGTGCCAGGACGGGACAACAGACCTGCCTCCCCTGGGGATGGCTGCAGTGGGAGGTGTCACGGCCACCCTAATCCATCCCATGTCCTGGCTCCCCTGCTGGAAGGTGTTGTGGAGCCCCAGTGTGGTGCTGACAGGCTCTCCCTCCATCAGGGAAGGGGACCTTTGGGACGCTGAGATGCCACGGAGGAGCCGCTGCCTGCTCAGCGCCCGGCTCTTCCCAGTGCTCCACGCCCGCGAGGCGCTGGGGCTGGAGGACGTGTGTGGCTGCTTGCCCTGCCTGGACAAGGCAGCCGAGCTGGGGGCCCGCCGGGCCCTCTTCTTCCTGCAGGGCCAGCGCAAGGTGCGACGGGTGCTGCTGGGGCGCCAGGACAGCAGCCTCCTGCCGCTCGCCCGCAGCGCCGTCCATGAGGGCTACCACGAGGCTGTGCTGGGCACGCTGGATGAGGGTGAGCTGGGCTCATGCGAGCTGTGTTTTGGCTATCGGAGCTGTTTGGTGCTCCCCGCCCCCTCCAGTGCCCCCTTTTTGTTGCAAGAACCCATGAGGGTGCACCCCCAGGGCATCTGACAAGCCAGGGTGGGCGCAAGCCATGCGAGTCCCTCTCTCCTGGAGCTGACTTATCGCGGAAGAGGGGTGATTTGGGGTGACCTGCAGCCTGGCTGTGGCTTTACAGCCTCTTTTTATTTTCTAGTTGCCTCCACAGCCGGTGATGCTGGCGTTGCAGCCCGGGCGCTCGCCTGCATCGCCGAGGTCCTGGGCTGCATGGCACAAGGGGAAGGGGGCTTGCGGAGCGGGCCCGCTGCCAACAGGGAGTGGGCCTCAGCTTTCGGGCGCCTGGAGAGCGGGGACATCGCCGGCGGTGTGCGGGAGCTGGCCACCGAGCGGCAGAAGTGGATGAGCAGGTGAGGCTGGGGCTGGTGAGCGGCTGCTGCCCCATCCCGTGTGTTGTCATGCTTGGGGAGCCATGGCAGCATGCTCAGGACCCTTCTCTTCCCAGTCCGGCTTTGCTGGTGAGAGCGGCTCGGCATTACGAGGGAGCCGAGCAGATCCTCGTCCGGCAGGCGGTGATGTCCTCGTGCCAGTTTGTCACCGTGGGACAGGCGGAGCTGCCACCCTTGGGGCACTGGGTGCAGGTGGTGTGTCCAGCCCGTCTGGATCTCTCCGGTGAGTGTATCTCCCCCCAGATCGATGATCCGTGTCTCCCCCCTGTGGTGTTGGGGGGAAAAGGAGTGTGGGTGCTGCGGGGGGGCTGATGGTGAGCTTTGGCAGGCGGCTGGAGCGACACCCCCCCCATCACGTACGAGCACGGCGGGGCCGTGGTGGATGTGGCGGTGCTGGTGGATGGGTGCCGGCCCATCGGCGCCCGGGTGCGGCGTATCGGCGAGCCCGAGCTGCGCCTCGTCAGCCTCGGCGGGACGCCGCAGGGCGAGGCGGCGGTGGAGCTGGTGTGCCGCGAGCTGAAGCACTTGCAGGATTACTGCCAGCCACATGCGCCAGGTGAGGTGTCACCATCCGCACGGCCTGGCTGTCCCCTGTGATGTCCCCTTGGTGTCCGGACCCTATGGTGGCCCTTTTAGGGGGACAATGGGGTGAGAGAGCAGGTAGCACAGCAGGCATCAGCTTTGCTTTCTCCTCTTGTTTGCAGGAGCCTTGCTCAAAGCCGCCTTCATCTGCACCCAGGTCGTGCAGTTCCCCTCGCAGAAACCCCTGCGGGCACAGCTGATGGAAAGCTTTGGGGGTGGGTTTGAGGTGCATACCTGGTCCAAGCTGCCCCACGGGTCTGGCCTTGGTAAGTCTGCTGGGAAAAGGCTGGGGTGTCCCTCACTGGTGCCGGGGAGTCCCTCCTGCTGCCAACACCGGGATGGGGCACCCCTCTCGCTGCCCTGGTCCCCGCTGTGCTCCCTGCAGGCACCAGCAGCATCCTGGCAGGAGCAGCGATGGCGTCGTTGTACCGGGCGGCCGGGAAGGCTGCCAGCACCGAGTCGCTCATCCATGCCGTGCTGCACCTGGAGCAGAGGCTGACGACAGGTAGTGGCTGCGGGGAGCAGCCGGCCCATGGGGTTGGGGGTCCCAGCAGTGGCTGAGGACCCTCTGCCCTGCAGGCGGTGGTTGGCAGGACCAGGTGGGCGGGCTCGTGCCCGGCATCAAAATCGGGAGGTCAAAGGCCCAGCTGCCGCTCAGGGTGGAGGTGGAGAAGATTCCGGTGCCCGACGGTTTTACCCAGACCCTCAACGATCACTTGCTGCTGGTGTACACGGGGAAGACTCGCCTGGCCCGCAACCTGCTCCAGGTAACTCCTGGATGCCCCTGGGTGCCGCAGCCCTGGTCTCTGCTCCCCCTGCAGCCTTCGGTCCTGTCCCCTTTGCTGGTGCAGAGCATTGCCACCCCAACGGGAGCTGGCACCTAAGGCTGCGGGTGCAGCTCCACTTCCCCGGGTGCTGCTGGAGCCGGGAGGATGGTGACGGGGATGTTCTGGCCTCTTGCAGGACGTGGTGAGGAACTGGTACGCCAGGCTGCCCTCCGCTGTGCACAACGCCGACGCGCTGGTGAGCAACGCTGAGGAGTGTGCCCAGGCCTTGAGGCAAGGTGTGAGCGCCCTTCTCTGGGCTAGGCCGGTCCTTTTAACGCCTGAAGAAACAAACTTCTCCGGGGAGAGTCTGTGTAGCCCTGGAGGGGGGGAAAAGCTGGGGGGGGTGCTGGTTCTTGCAGCTACAGAAGCTTCAAATCTTCCCCTGGCGCGTTACAGGCAATGCCCCAAAATTCAGGCTCGAGTAAATCTGAGGAAGGGGGATTAGACATGCTAAGTCTGATTGATTTTCTACAAGCCATCCGTGATGGGGCTGGGGGCCATGCCTGGCCTGCGCGGTGGATTCATTTGGCCTTTGGCTGCTGGGATGCTGCAGAGGGAAGCTGGAGCATTAAATCAAGTGAATTCTCCCCCTGTGGAGGATTAAAAATACACAGCAACGTGACAGGGCTGGGTTTGCTTGCTCAGCAGGCAGAGCTGGGAGAAGCCGGGTAGATGAGAAGGTGGAATTTAGCTCGGGCTGAGCGGGAGAAGCAGGGACAGATGGGTGAGAAATAAAGGCAAATAGTTTTCAGTATCTTCTCCCTTGCAGGTAACCTGCTGCTCATCGGCAAGTGTCTGGAGCGCTACTGGCAGCAGAAGAAATGCATGGCCCCTGGGTCCGAGCCGCTGGCCGTCGGGCGCATGATGGATGCTCTCCGGCCCTACGTCTACGGACAGTGCTTGGCGGGAGCTGGCGGCGGCGGCTTCCTTTACGTCTTAACCAAAGCCCCTCGGCAGAAAGCAGCTTTGCACCAAATTCTAGTGAAAACTGAGGTGAGATGTGGGCTCCCAGGCGGTTCGCTGTTGCAGGCAGCTTGCAGAAGCTCGCTCTATATAGCGCAAGCACTAGGAGCGTTTCGCCCCACTACGAGTGGGATGAGATGGTTTGTTGTCCCCTTTGCCCTCCCCAGGACCTTGGAGGTGAGAACATGTCCCTTGCTGGCTCCTGTCCCAACTCATAACTCTTTCTTTTTTTTTTTTTTTTTCTCCTAGGGCCTGGGCAACTTCAGCATCCACAGCATCGAAGTGGACACGGGTGGTTTCTCTGTGGAGGTTGTGGGACGTGATCCGAAGGACGGTGCTCACTCCGGAGAGGACGTGGCTGTGTGAAGGTCTTCAGCCCTGACCCGTTCCTGGCAGATACGCGGGGCAGGGGAGGGAGCAGCCAGCTGCCTTCCAAAGCAGGGAGAGCCCCTCTGCTTTAATGGCAGCTCCTTCAGCAGGTGCCTTAGGTCTTCATGTGGCCTTTTTGTGCTGCTACTTGCCCCAAAAACCATGGAGGCTGGAGGAGCTATGATGAACTCCATCCCTGGAGCGGGGCTTTGCTGGAAGGACAGTCTGCTCAGGCCTTCAGGTTGATTTTGGGGCTTCACTCCGGTTTTCATGATTCTCCAAAGGGAAGAGAACAGCGTTTGTGACACAGCCCCTCGCAGGAACCTTCCTGCTCTTCCAGCAGCAGGGGCCTGCGCTGCCCCTTTGGTGTGCAGTGCTCCTGCACCAAGGTCCCTCCTGGATGCGGAATCAAGTCCCTCTCCTGTGCTGAGAGACTATTTCTGCAGCGAGTTACTGGTTCCTGCGGTTTCTTTGAATAAAAACCCCCTTGTTCCCACCACGTGTTTCCGCCCCTCTGTCCCTCGCAGGGCTCCTCCTTCACCGCAGGATAGCAATGTGGGGGGCGAAGCTCTTCCAGGGGTGGGGATGGCGGAACCTGCACGCGGTGGCCGGTCGTGGCCCTCCGCAGCCCTGGGTGACGGGGGACAGCAGGGGAGCGCTGCCGCAGGAGGCAGCCAAGCAGTGAGCTGGCACCAGCTGCTGCCACAGGGGTGTTCGTGCTGTGCCAATGTCAGCTGGGGGGCAGGCAGGAAGATGTTCTTGAGGCCGTGGCACAGGGTAGAAGAGGAGAAATGGCGAACAGCTTTTGTCCCTCATCTCTCCAACTCCCCGCGGGCCCACAGACGCACAAACCACCCGAGGTTGCTGCTCAGCCAGGCGAGGTTTATTTACAGAGTAGCTGTACAGGGCAGAGCGAGCCAGCAGCCACAGCCCCGCTTCCTACAGCATTTCCCTAGGGATTTTCCAAGCACCCTTCCCACAAGGAAATCATTCCTTTTCCCTTCAACAGAACAGTCCCCATCACCACCAGGAGAGAGGGAGGGCTCAGGATCTGCAGGACTCCAGTAGCTGACCCTTAAACTGGTGGCACAGACAGAACACGCCTGTGGCCAGCAGCACGAGGAGAGCCCTCTGTGCAGCCCCATATTTTTTTTTATCTATAGCACACAGCCCGTCCCTCAGACTAGCACGTGTTTTCAGACATCATGTCACACTGCTCTCAACGTGAGAGATCCTCCGCCGCCTTATTTCTGCTCCCACAAAAGGACGGCGGCTCTTCTTCCCAGGCTCAGGAAAGCCATTTGCTCCGAGGACCAGGAGCGGAAGGGCAGCCATCGCCCCATCCCCACACCACGTAACAGCCAGCCCCGGGGCTACAGCCTTCCTGCCGTCGCCTCCAGCGTGGTGCTGAGCCAAGCACTGACCAACTACAGGCGCAGCCGTTTGATATCTTCGCTGCGGAAGTCGATTCGGAGAGCCAGCACCTGCCGCACCTCGGCAGGAGTAAGGCGCCAGGTGAGTGGGCCAGAATTTGGGCCCCAGTAATCCAGGATCTCCGTCACCTGGAGAAAGGGGAGAGCTGTAGGAGACAACTCAACACCATCTGCCCTCGCAGGTGTGTTCAAACTCCGGCTACCGTCACAGTATTTCCTGCCGCTAACCCCCTGCAGGCAAACACCTTTCAGGCGTGGGGTGACTTTTCCAGCTTCTCCCTACCCCACAGGGGTGACAACATCTGGATAAGCCTAGAAAATCCACGTGGAGCCCAGCTGGGCTTCCTGCAATCCCTCCCCCCACCAATAAAAGCAGACAACGCGCAGCTCACCCGTTCCAGGTTGAGGATGGTGGCCATCTGGGAAAGACGGGCAAACTTGTCCCGGATAGTCCAGGTGGTGACTGTGGTGAGATAGGCTATGAGAGACCGCAGCTCCTTGTCAAACTGCAGACCGCCAAGCTGTGGGGACCGAGGGAGCTCTGTCAACTCTCCGAGCGGGCACAGGGGTTGGGGGGGGGGGGGGGGCAGGGGAAGGTCTCTGAGAGGGAGGGTCCCAGTTAGACCATTTACTGCAGGTTAAACTACTTTACGTTTCAACCCACCTCAAAACCCCCCTTATTTTCCCAGCCCTGTCCCCAAATGTGCTTTCCCCCTGTGTGTGCTAAAGCAAGGAAGGTCTCCCTGAGCTAGGCACCGGGGGTGGCAGAGCTTCTTTGAGGCTCATTTGCCTCTGCCCTGCCCCATCCCTTGGAGGGTAACGAGTTTTGCGGTGGGAGGGACTCTACAGGTGAGAGGACAGTGTTTTGCTTACCCTGCTGAAGGTGGATTTGAGCAGCACTTTCTCCAGTTCGATGGCTATGAGACTGGTCATGAGACCAGTGAGGGTATCGTAAATCACGGGAGACAGCCCAGCCTGCAAGCAGAAACCTGTGTCATTCTTGTCAGGAAGAACCGAGCGCAACTCCACAAAACCCGAGCCTCTGACAGCTTTCAAATAAAGACCCATCGCTTGCACGCTCAGCGAGCGGAAAGCACCGGCAAAAGCGATCCAGGTACGCTGGTCCTGCGAACAGGCTTTGAAAACTGCAGGAGAAGGGGGGTGATGGATCTCTACGAGCCCCGCAAGGCGCCGGAGGACATCTCTCCGCCGTTCCCCAGCGCAGGGGAATAGCCGGGAGATGCCACACGGAGGTCTGGCAGGCCGTCACGTCCCACTCTCTCACCTTGAACTCTGTCATCTGTTGTTCCAGGTTGACGATGAACTGCTGGACCCATGGATCGTTAGCTTCGTAGTCGCTGAACTCTTCCTGACATTGAAATACAAAAAGGGTTGTTTATGCAACTGCAGCAATCCGCCTGCAGGATAGGGAGGGAGGTCACTCCTGGAGCGGCGCTGCAGCCCTTGCGTTTTCTCGAGCGCCTCTCTAGCCAAACGGCCCTTCTCAGGCTCAGATGCAGAGCAAGTTCTGGGTGTTTTACTGTCGCTCTGTGCCGAGGAAACAGCGGAGAACTGAGGGGAATGAGACAGCAGTTGCTCTGACTGCAGAGGACGGAGAGTGCAGAAGCACGGCTGGAAGCGGAGAACGCTGAGCCTTACCTCCTCGATGTTGTGGGAGACGGAGAGGAAGAGGTTGATCCAGGGCTTCACCTGGGGTTTGATGGCCGTGCTGTTCAGCTCGTTGAGACCTTCCTGAGGGGGACAAGAAAGAGGAGAGGAGAGTGACTGAGCACAGCTAAGGCCCAACGACACACAACCTTTACAGCCAGGCTGCCTTGATGCTGCCTCACACCCTCACTGCGAGCTGGGGAAACCAAACCCAGAAGTCCCAGATTCTTCCAGCCTGGGCTGAAGGTCTCGTGCTTCCCCAACCCTGCTACAGAGGTTTCCCAGCAGGAGCGAGGCGTTCGATTCACATCCCACCAGGGTAGGAAAGGAGGCGGAACACCAGCCTTCCCGCTCCGCGCCAGCCGGGAGGGCACCGCGATTGCACTCGGCTGATGCCTCCCACCCCCAAGTGCAGCACAGCTCAGTAGGAGAAGCTAAAAGGAGGATAAAAGCTGTAACCGCAGTTAATTCCCTGAATTAATCATAACCCCAGCGCACGCCACCTCCCCTGAGCGGGAGGTTGTCAGCGAAGGCTGTTCTGTCCGCTTCGATGCTAGAGAGCTCTCTGAAAGCCCTCTCCTGCCAACCACCCCCCTTTGGCTCAGCAAGACGTCAAGAAAGCTCACCCAGCATGAAGCTATTCAGGTACCCACACTGCCTGGCGTTTGATGCAAGTTTTTAACTCCAATTGGCATTTCTGAGCAGGCCCTGCTGGCGATTGCCCTTTTCCAAGGCAAATTCAACGGGCGCGTGACTCAGGCAGCGCAGGAGCTTGCTGCTCAGCCTCTTGATTGCTTTGCAGCCAGTTTTAATTCTGCACTAGCGCGAGACCGGAGAGCTTTTACTCCTTACGGATGAGCTCTTTCGGTTTCGATGCTGACCACAAACCTCAAGAGGGTTCGCCGGCAATGCCGCTCTGAAGGCATCTGACTGCAGCGGGACTGCGAAGCCAAACGAAAAATGGTCTGGCCCCTCTGGGAAGTACAAAGTTGATGGCAAACCTGGTTGAAAGTATTCTATTTTGCTTGGCTTCCTTCCACAGGAGGTATCAGGTCTTCCTGCACCCCTCCCTGACATTTTAGGGCAAGGTGCCCCAGCGTGCACCCCACGAGACAGCGGATTTAGCCAGAGAGCCTTCTGCCCCATGCTGGGGAGTATTTTCATTTGGGAAAGGAGGAGAAACCCGAGAGAAGAGCAGCCCTTCTCTACCTTCAGCGTTACCTAGGGTGGCTCTGCACAACTTGACAACGTGCTGCGCCACGAGGGAGAACGGAGGAGATGGAAATGCTATTAATATTTCCTTCTCCTGAAAATGCTGAACCAACTACGACTCCGTGCTGAGCGAGGACAAATGGAGCAACATTCCTTCTGGCTCTGCAGCTGCTTCCACTGCTTTTTCCGCAGCCGCCAGCTGGTGCGGCTGTGCAAACGGGCTGGATCTGTTTCCGCGCCTCAAAGCTGATGGATTTGCTCCCACCTGCACCCCTACCCAGCGCTCCGGGAACCAGACGCGGCCCAGACCTTGGGCTGAAATGATTCCTGCCTGAGCTCTCCCTGAAGACAGCGGCCAGCCAGTGCCGGGGACCAGCAGTAACTCAGCAAGACGCTCACCTGCAGCAGGTCCCGGAACTTGTTCGGAGGCAGCTCTCAATCTTGGCCTGCGCTTGCTCGCCCCCGAAGCCTTGGCTAAGCAGTTTGCTGCAGTCGCTCTGCAGGGGAAGAGAGCCAAATTAATAAGCCGGGGCCGTTTCTAGCCCTTCACATTGCCGAGCACTGCCCGCCCACCAGCACACTTGCAGGCTACGACAGGCGCCAAACGCTCGGCCCTGCGAAGGCAGAGGCTGCTGGCTCCTGCTGGGGAAGAGGACAGCGAGAAAGGAAGGCAGGGGCTATCTA